GAAGAAATCCTCAATGACTCCCCGGCTTTAGCTTTGCACAGATCAGCCCACTTCTTTGGTCTTTTTCTCGTTTCTGGTAGAGTTTCATCGAGATAGAGGTAGTGAATGAAGAGGAATACTCTATTCTACGCATCCTGTATTGCTACAGCCTCCAATAACATATCTTCCTTGCATTCTGCAACGATTTTGACACACACTATCGCACGTTCATATGCATTCTTCTCAGAAACAAAATATTGTTATTCCCGAAGTGACGTCAAAAGCCAACTCGTCCCATTCTCCGCTATTTCTCGGTCGTGAACATGGAAAAGGGCAAATTTACAAACTTTAAAAATTCATAGAAAATTAACGAAAATAGCTAAAACGATAATTTTTTCACAGTGGTGATCAGGAGAAAAAGGAAATTTATATTAGCAAAAAAAACTTTGGGGGGCTAGTGGCACTTTAAGTGGAAAGGGTACCGCGAAACATGGCAATCTGCCGATCACTTTGCTTCCGATAGGAAATCAAATCAAACAACGTTTATCCTACAGGTAGATACTTCCTCTCAACAAGCAACCGACTTGACTTCACAAAATGTTCACATCGCTAAACACTTTAGCCCAGGTGTTAAAGCTCTAAGCTACTACAGCCTTCGTCTTGACATGGCGAAAGAAATGGGAGACAAAACACGCGAAGGAGATGCGCTTGGCAAACTTGGCGATGCTTATCAAGTTCTCGGTGCTGTCAAAAAAGCCATGGACTGTCATGAGGAACAGCTAAGAATTGCAAAAGAAGTCAGAGACAAGACTGCCGAAGGAAGAGCGTATTCCAACATCGGCAGTGCTTATCAATGTCTCGGCGATTTCAAAAGAGCAGCGGACTGCCACGTCGCAAGTCTTCGTATCGCCAGAGAAGTAAAGGACAAACCTGCAGAAGGAGCTGCATATGGCAATATCGGCAAAGCTTATCAAAGCCTCGGTGATGTCAGAAATGCCATGAATTACCACAGACGACATCTGAAAATTGCCAGAGACGTGAATGACAAGGCTGGACTAGGAACTGCCATTGGCCACCTCGGCAACGCTTACCAAAGTCTCGGTGATTATAAAATGGCCATAGACTATCACAACGAACAGCTTAAAATTGCAAAGGAAATAGGAAAGACGACTGTAGAAGCACATGCATATGGCGGTCTAGGCAGTGCTTATCAAGGCCTTGGCAATTTCAAAGAAGCCATAGAGTACCACAGGCGCCATCTCATCATCATAAAAGACGTGGGCGACAAGTCTGGGATAGGACCCGCCTTGGGGCTTCTTGGAAACGCTTATCATGGTCTCCGTGATTTCAAAATGGCCAAGGACTACCATGAAAAACATCTTACAATTGCTAAAGAAGCAGGAGACAAGGCTGGGGAAGGAACTGCGTATGGCAATCTCGGCAATGTTGTTCAAGATCTCGGCGATTACTCACAAGCCATAGAGTACCACAGCCGCCATCTTACTATTGCTAAAGAAGTGGGCGACAAGAGTGGAGAAGGACGGGCCTATGGAAACCTTGGAAGGGCCTCTCAGGGAGTCGGCGACTTTGTAAAGGCAATAGACTACCACAAACTGCATCTAAGCATTGCCAATAAGATGGGCAACAAGGCCGGAGAAAGTACTGCGTATGGCCATATTGGCAGTGCTTATCAGGGTCTCGGTGATTTCAAAACAGCTCTACACTACCACAAGCTACATCTCAAAATTGCGAAAGATCTGGACAACAAGAAAATGGAAGGAGCTGCGTACGGAAACCTAGGCAAGGCATACCAGAGTCTCGGTGATTCCAGAAAAGCCATAGATTATCACAGGCTAAATCTTGCTATTGCTAAAGAAGTGGGAGACAGAGCTGGAGAAGGAGCTGCATATGGCAATCTTGGAAGGGCAAATCACGGCCTCGGTGATTTCCAAAAAGCTATTGACTATCACAGCCAACATCTCAATGTTTCCAAAGAAATGGGAGACAAAGCGGGAGAAGGAGCTGCGTATAGTCAACTTGGCAAAGCTTACCAAGGTCGCAGTGATTTCCAGAAAGCCCTTTACTACCACAACCTACATCTTGCAATTTCCCAAGAAATGGGAGACAAGGCTGGGAAAGGAACTGCGCATGGCAATATTGGCGTTGTTTATCAAAGTCTCGGTGATGTCTATACAGCCATAGAACACCACAACCTACACCTCGAAATTGCCAAAGAAGTTGGAGACCAAGGTGGGGAAGGTGCTGCGTACGGCAATCTTGGCAATGCTTTCAGTGGTCTCGGAAAATTCAGAAAAGCCGTGGATTACTTCAACCGACAACTTAGTATTGCCAAAAACATCGCAGACATGCCTGGAGAAGGAGCTGCGTATGGAAACCTTGGCAATGTTTGGCAAAAGCTTGGTGGCTTCAGAAAGGCTATGCACTACCACTACCTACATCTTAGAAGTGCCAAAGACGCAGGAGACGAGGCTGATGAAGGAGCTTCCTGTGGCCACCTTGGAATTGTTTTTCAAAGCCTCGGCGATTTCAATAAAGCCATACATTACCAAAACAAGCAACTTAGATGCGCCAAAAAAGTAAGAGACAAGACTGGAGAAGGTAATGCCTATCACGCAATCAGTTGCAGCTTTGAATCACAGTGCCTCTTACATGATGCTCTAGAAAACAGCCAGTTGAGCGTAGAAGCATTCAATAATGTCAGAAGTCTTCTTCAATCTGAAGACAAATGGAAGATTGACTTCAGAAAGAAATGCAATGATTCGTACACTGCTCTGAGAAGAATTCTCTTGAAGCGAGACAGAATCGTTGAAGCACTGTTTGCTGCAGAATCAGGACGAGCCCAAGCCCTGAGTGATCTTCTCGTATCGCAATACGGCCTCCAAGAAAGTCAGACGGCGTCGATTGAAAAAGAAACGTACTTGGAGAAGTTAAGCTTCAGTTCGTCTAGTATTGTCTTTCTGGTTGTTTCCCCAGGAGTGGTTGATGCCTGGGTACTTTCCAAAGGAAAGGATATCCATTACAGCAAAAAGGAACTTGATGGAGCCAACACCATTGAGTCGTTAATAGAAGATGCGTGTCGGGACACTGGTGTGGAACTAAGGAGAAAGCATTCCCAGGACTCCTTGCCATCACGCAACTTCACCAAAACGAGGTCGGAAAATCCTTTAGTATCGTTGTATAACAATGTTATTGGCCCGATTGCAGACTTGGTTCAAGGAGACGAATTGATCATTGTCCCAGATGGACCACTGTGGCTAGCTCCGTACCCTGCTTTCGTAGACGGTGATTCAAAGTACCTGAGTGAATCGTTTAGAATCCGGCTGATTCCATCGCTGACCAGTTTGAAACTGATTGCTGAATGTCCAGAAAGTTACCACAACAAGAATGGCGCTCTACTTGTCGGAGATCCATGGGTAGAGGAAATCAACCTAGAGAGGAGACGAAAAATCCCTTCACTTCCATTTGCTAAAAAAGAAGTGGAAATGATCGGAAAAATTCTCAAGGTGACGCCTCTTGTTGGAAAAGAGGCCACGAAGGCTGAGGTGCTTAAAAGGCTCGGCTCGGTTGCTTTAGTGCACATCGCAGCGCATATCCACAAGGAAAATGGCGAGATTATCCTTTCCCCGAACCTAGAACAAGCATCCTGTATCCCCAAACCAGAAGACTGCAGTCTAACAATGGAAGATGTATCAAGAATCACAATTCGAGCAAGACTGGTTGTTCTAAGTTGCTCTCACAGTTCTCGAGGGGAGATCAACCCCGAAGGTGTGGTCGGTATCGCTCGGGCCTTCATGGGTGCTGGTGCCCGCTCTGTTCTGGTGTCACAGTGGAGATTGTTTGATGGCGAGAACATGCTGGTCTTCATGGAAATCTTCTATCGTAACCTTATAGATGGGAGAAGTGCAAGTGAGTCTCTGAACCAGACCATGAAATCTCTCAGAGAGTCAGAGAAGTACAGTGATGTGAAATTCTGGGCGCCTTTTGTACTCATTGGCGATGACGTCACGCTTGACTTCGAGGAGAAAAACTGAGGTAATTCTCCCTTTTACAGTGGTAAAGACCCAGTGGAGAAATGCTTGCGTTACATGTATTACTTTTCAGTTGCCCTTAACCAACATAAATTACCATTAACCGAAATTATTACCCGACTAATGGTTGAACCGAAAAAACTTACCAAATCATGTTCAGACTCACTGTTTTAGTCTGAGATTCAAAGTCTGTTACCTTTCAGATGTTAGAAACGCCCTCGAAACCTCTTTTCCAAAATAATGCCATGGGTGGCAAATTACTCCTTAATTTTGGCGCCAAATTTCAGCGTTAATTTATAATTTTGCACGTGAAATGTAATTAAAATTACCATGACAACGTTTGGCGCGAAACTTCTCGATATAATAAACGAGTCAAATGCCCACGATTGTAAGCGCGATTTGTCACCCACGATTTTAAAAGGTAATCAAATGCTAAATTCGTGAAATTATTTCCTAATTTCACTCGGCACCATTTGATGACCCATGCCTGTGGTTGTTTAGCCGTCTTTTTTTAATAGCCAATAGAACAGCTTTACTAGTTCTTTATTGTTTAAATTTGTAAATTTCACTTTCGAGGATGTGGTAAATTTTTTACAGTGGAATTGCTGAGTGGCTTCTTATGGTCGATTCCGGTCATGCTTTATTCATGTTTTTTTTCGTTTTAGGTTCCAGACGAATGTGTTTGCTGACTGAAAAGTAACTTTGCCATCCTTGTGTTACTTGAAAGTTAACCGAGTTTGTCAAGAAGCGTCAATAGTTGGAAGAGGAGCAAAACTCTAAACTATACTGCTAACATCAAAGACAATTTCCAATGCAAACCGTAATCAAAAGAGGAACCTCGCTGACAACACTTTTTTAAACGAAGGTTTTAATAATAGATAAACAAATTTACAGTTACGTGAGAACAAGGCCAGACAGATTAATAGCGAAGTTTCAATGTCTTAATTCTTAAATTTTTAATTTAGAGCAAGCCAAGGAGAAACGAATTTATTCGTACAAAATGCTAAATACGAATTTTTTCGTTACATGTCTTGATGTTATTGGATGAACACCTTCAAACGAGTAAGGTGACTATGCGTAATATAACATCTGTATCCGCTGCACAAACAAATAACTGTTTTGAACAACTGGTTCAAATGGGACTTTCTGTTTCAGTTGTATTTCACTTTCTAACTTGTTACTGAGCATTTTTGAATAATGTAGCTTCACCTCTCATTGCATAATTATTCATCGCGAGCTAGCAGAAAGTTTCTATTCTGTTTTAATTTTTCCTTCTCATATTTATCCCTGGGTATACAGCAGAGAATGTAATTTTATTTTGCGTGCTTCAAGCATAGATGAAAAAAATATATATATTTCTTATTCGTTTGACTTACATGACAAAAATGATTCGTTTCTCGAAGATCAAGCTAGTAACTTTTTTGGCTCAAGTTTGAACGTGCCTCCTGTACTACGATTTTAACTGTAACGAATGAAGAATGTATAACGTCTGTTTGAGGATTTTAATATTATAATAATATTATAGAGAACTTATGCAATAACGTAGTTACAGTACAACGATTCCAGTTAGGGTAACCCAACGCTTTCCTAGCAATTGTTCTGACAGGAGAGTAAGTGATAGGTGGCCTAAGAAGCTAAAAGCTAGATACAGAATTAACATATTTTTAAAACGATACTTAGCTTTTTTACCTTTCATCTAAAATTGCGTTACAAATGAATATTAAATACAATGTACTTGTTCCGACTAAATAACGTATTGATGGAAACTTGAGGTTAATAACAGTGGTAAATTTTTTTGCATTATTGGTCCTTTTTTGTGGAGAAACTTAGATTGTTATTAAATAAAATAAACGTGTATGTTATTAGGCCCCGACCATGCATACTAATGCATTTTTAAAAGTATCCGTTCTCATCTCGACGAAAGCGAGGCAAAATATTTTCGTCCACACTAGCATTTTCGGTCTGTTTTCACGTGTCCACACTATTTTTCGTATGAAAACGCATATTCTTGATATGTCTTCGCTCATCGTCCACACTAAAACACCTGAAAACGCTGATGGAAACGACAGTATGTGACTTTTTTTTCGGCACCGTTTTCAAACGCATCCGTTTTCACCTATCCACACTAGAAACGGAGCGTTTTCAAAAGGCTCCACCTTTTTCGAAAGCCTAGATTTTCATCAGCGTTTTGGATCGTTTTAGTGTGGAAGACAGGCGAGAACGCATCAAAGCGTAAGAGTCGCGAACATTTTACTTGTTCCTCGGATTCTTTGTCTCGCCATTGCGGGAATATCAAACTTGCAAAATACCACACGCACATAACCTCTTAAGTAGTCAGTAGGGACACAAGCATAAGCATAAGAAGCTCATACGCTAGTGAAGACGGCTGTAACATAATTAAGCATAAGCGCTCCTCTTATGTTTATTTATGCTTATGTCGGTGTTATGTTCGGTGAGGACATGGTTGGCAGCATAAAATGCTCGATGATTGGCTGAAAGTCTTTCGCTTATGTTTATGCTTATGCCAACCATGTCCCCACTGGTCACAACAGCAACATAAGGATATGAAGAATGCAAGTTTTGATATTCTTATGCTTATGCTTATGCTTGTGTCGCAAGTGAGAACCGGACTTTAATCTTCTGGGCGCGCGCCTTAGAATTGAACTTAATGAATTAGTGACGCAACAAACTAACGAAGCTCCTTCAAAACGCAGCCTTGACGACAACAAAGAGAAAATTCCGATGCCTCGCTGCAAAGAGCAAAGTTCTCGTGGCACCGATTGTCATCTGTAGCACGCAGGAATGAAGTTGGCTACTTTTTGTCTAGTTTTCTCTCTGTTTGTATACGATTTGAAATTCCATTCGGATGGTGCCTTAAGCGATCAAACTTCAGCGAAAGTGGAAGATATTAACTACAGCATAGAGAAAGGTAAGACTAGAAAACAAAATTGATGTAATATATCAAACACGAGAGACAGTGTTTCATCGCGATATCCAAACAGTGAGAAGAGTGTTGGAAATTTGACGCGCAGCATTCGGAATTCGAGGTGTTTGGATAGCGGATGACACACTGTCTCGAGTGTTTGATAAATCATATCATCTCAATCGAACAAAAACTAAGGAGTAAACGGAGAAATAAAATCGTCAGAATCTATGCTAATTAAGACCGGGTATCCAAACCTCTTTCACGGTTGTGATTTTCTTTGTTTTAACTCGGTGAATCATGAATGAGTTTGAGAAAAATGTTCCTAGTTCTACACGGTGCACTTATTAGCGGTTTGATTAATTTATCCAGACTTGTCGGGTATACATAAGCTTATAGTTCGTCTTTGATCTCCAAAACTATTTTTTTTGAAGATGACACTCGTGATGATGAATAAATAAGATCAGTGATTGAAATGATTTGTATGTAATTTCATTTATGTTACATCCTCGCGCTTAAAGCTGTGTCTGAAAAACGCATCTTTTCTAAAATGCACATTCAACGGAGTAAAAATTGCACGTCAGTTTAGCAACTGCTGCAGATGTAGAGGCGTCGATGCAACAGTCCGTACTAAAGAAGAATTGCAATTTCCAAGAGTCTTACTAGCTTGCAATTCACAACAAAACAACAACAACACAATACATTTAATATTACCTGACAATCTACATAGTCTTGAAATAAATGGGTGTCCGTCTTTATATATTTTCAGCGAACGATGCTGGTTTTGTTTTCCAAAGGGATGTTGTTTTTAGTGACCGATCAAATAAGTCCCTGAGGACGAACACCACCAGAAATAGATCCAAGCGAAACTTTGTTGCACTGAAACGCTTCTGGTGGAATTCTGAGTCCATTCCCTACATGCTGGACAAGTCACTAGGTAAGGTTTTAACTTAATATTAAGTATGGGAACAAATGCGTCTTCGCACTAAGATGAAGGGTTTCCTTTCTGGTCGTTGCTTAGCAACATGACGTCATTGCCCAAGGCACCAGGTGATATTAGGAAGCTTAAGCAACGACGATGCCTACTTAAAAATGAATTTATATCTTACCCGCGAGATTCGCAATTGCCTAGATCTGTTCAGTACGCCAATGGCTCTAAAAAGGTGCTCAGGCTAAATATGCAATTACAGCTAGCGTTCAGTTCCAAATGGAAAGTACGAAAAATTAGCCATCGTCATTCGTGTTCCTCAGACAACGCAGAACTTGGTCATTTCAAGTTGTTGTTAAGCAGGGCACGGCAAAGAAATGTACACAGATTTATAACGCACGTGCACAGCTATTGTTTTGCTCATTAAGGTGGCCGAACACAGTTTTCGCGCGCGCTTTTGCTGATGCAATTCAGCGCGCGCACCAGGATTGCAAAAAACAAACATGCCTTCAATAGAACGATCATTTTATTTACTCAACCCCGCACTATCTGTGCTATTTTTCTCTATAATTGAACGCAGTGTATTGATGGCTTTAGTCTTTTATTACAAAGATATGTTAGAAAAGGTAACGATGC